GACTCCATCTTCAGCTTCTCTCTTTGATGTGCCAGTTTTTAATCAGGAGCTATCGGCTCAGGCCCCATCCCACCCCACCAAGTCCCATTTCTCTGGTACTTTCTGCAGGGAGGCGATAAGGACAAAGCTCTCATTTTTCCCCTTCACAGAGTCACACCTATGATGGCTCCCTGCGGAGAGGCAGCATATAAAAATAAATAAATGCAGAGCAAAGAAGGATAAAGGTCACCTTTCTGTAAGGGCCAGGCCGCCTCCTAGCCGCCTGAAAGCCTGTCACGGTTTGGGGTTTCCGTGGGGGCGGGCCGGGCGGGGGTGGTGGGTTTGGGGCCACTCATGAAAAAAACAAATGTTTCTGTGTTGCTTTGAAGTGGCACTCCTGCAGTTTATCTTGGTCAATATTGCTCACTTTTGACAACATTTAAAAGAAGTAGGAGGGGAAAAAAAACACATAACTGGAGACTCAGTGGGGGGGGGGGGGGGTTTCATCTCTAACAGAGCGTTTGCGGAATGTGCTAATTCTCTGACAGCGCCGGATCACAGTCCCCCTGTCCTTCAGGAGCGGGCACCCGTCCGTCAGAGGTCAAGTTCAAGTGATCACTGCTGAGCCCAAACCAGGGCGTTTTGGGTGCCAGTTAAAGCCGAACTGCAGACTCAGACATTATAAATCTGCCGTAGTGGCTGTTACACCGAGCTAAGTAACATCAAGTAATGCCATAATAATCACATCAATGATCAATCAATCTTCATTTATACAGCACTGTTTTAACCACGGGGGTTTACAAAGTACTTTACAGACATCTAAAAGAAAGGAATTAAAAAAAACACATACACCAAAAAAATAATCAGTTTTTAAAATAATAAACAACTAAATAAAATAATTAATAATAATAATAATAATAATAATAATAATAAAATGCCACCAAAATGTGGGACTTTAACCACCCAAGTTCTTAGTAATGGGACTTTTGACCATACTCTCTGGTCTCTGTAGGGGACTGTAGACCACCCTCTCTGGTCCCTCTGGGGGACTGTAGACCACCCTCTCTGGTCTCTGTAGGAGACTGTACACCACCATCTCTTTTCCCTGTAGGGGACTGTAGACCACCCTCTCTGGTCCCTCTGGGGGACTGCAGACCACCCTCTCTTGTCCCTGTAGGGGACTGTAGACCACCCTCTCTGGTCTCTGTAGGAGACTGTACACCACTATCTCTGGTCCTCGTGCAAGGAAACTCAAACCCCTGCCACACTGGGACCCAAACCCAATGTCCTCTGCAGGACTCAAGTCTCACAGTATTCAGGGGAGCCAGTTCAGATCTTAACCTACAATTCATCTAGCTCTCCTTCATAAAACTAACAGAAGTTTAATGTAATAAACTGATTTATGTAAACAAGAATACAAGACATTCTGTACAAACATTTCTAGAGATTTCTTACAAAACAGAGACCATTGTGTCATTATCTTCAGTAAGTCATTTTGCTTGGAAGAGTATTTAAATTATGCATAATTAATAGACTGTATGAATTTCCAGGCACTGTACACATCAATGATTATATTAATTATTAATTATAAAAATAAAATAAAACAAGTTACCAGAGACACAGTTCACTATATTTTGCAATGTGGCAATGCCTGCGTCTGACTGGCTTAGCCAATCGACCCACTAAGTCAGGGCAGTCAGCACTGCATTGATTAAGGCTTTGGATTCTTAACCCAAAGGTTACTGGTTCATATCCAAGAGCTGTTTCATCTGCTCTACTGTCAAGAAGTGACCGTAACCAGAATGACTTCAGTAAAACAACTGGTTATAAAACTGTAGGTTGAGTTAGATGATGGTATCAGGCCAGGAGTAAACGCTGGAGAGCCAGATGTGAGAGGGATGAATGCGGGACAGGAATGAAAATACAGCCTCCTATTCCTGTAGCTTAAGCTCCGCCCACCTTCCACTTCAAAATGAGCCAAATTATAGAAAAGATGGCATTTTGACGGGGGCCTCGGCATAATCTTTGTAACTAATGACAAAAAGAGGAATTCTGAGTTCTAATTAAAAGGCGCGCAAGTCAAAATTTTGCTTGAGGTGCACTGCAAATGTGTGGCGAAAAAAATTTTGAATCCATATATTTTGATAGTGTCGTTGACTTCGATCTCCAAATAGTTTCGAAGACGAATAAAACAGTACAAAATTCAAGCCATATAGGCAGCTCACAATAACCGTCACGTAGATTAATGACTTGTGACGTCAACGTTTGCAGCCAGGACCACACTACGAGGTAAACCTCAGTCACGTTTTAGCGAAAACGCAAAAACGATCCGTGACAAATTCCGCAAACTGCAACGGGAGGCTCAGTCGTTCCAAATACCTCGCGCACAAAAATAAACCTTCCTTCGTGGATGGAAGTCATCCTGAAACTAAAGCTTTCAGTGTTTCACCACTTTCCAGGACCACACAGACTTCTCCACATGTCTATTAAATGAAATGAGTGCTGAAAGCAGTGCAGTCCTGAAATCCCAGCACAGTTTGCCAGATTTTTAGATATGCAAAACTGCAGCTGTTGCACTTGGTTACGATATAATAGATCGGTTATAAACTCAAAACTTATTTATTCCTTAATACCCTCCCACCATGTATAGTTAACGTTCTGAACGTGTTTGGGAAAAGTTCTCTTTTCGGTACTGTCAGTCCTCCACGTCTTTATTTGCCACTTAAACGCTTTTTTTTGTTCCTTTGTGTCAAAAAGCAAAACGAAGAAAAATGGTTGCAAAAACGACACATTAGTTCTGCACTGCATAATGCAGATGTAAGGTAAATAAAAAAAGGCAATTTTCGTTGTTCGGTTTGTAACAGCGGACCACCCATCCATCCGCTTGGCCTTTAACGAGAAGTGATTGGCCGCTTCTCTACGGCTCAGCTTCACCACAGACCGACATCCATTCAAAATGGATAATATTCAGGGTAAAAGTGCAAACCTACTGTAATTTTACTTTAAAAATGGAACCAGCTTGTGGGTTTAAAACTGTCAAAAAAAAAGGCACATAGAAGCGTTTTATATGCCAACCTCTGCAAAGGCCGAGTTTATACAGGAAGAAAAAAATGTATATTTAGATGTAACTCTATAGTGCTTCTGTGCTCAAGCAAATTAGCTGCCAAACTTTCTTTTCGGGCGTTTGTGCTTTCAGCGGCATATGTAGAAAAAGCAAATACGAGTCGGCTTTAAAGAGGCAGCCGGGAAATCCACACTCCACGGTGGCCGGGCGGCGGTGTGAACGCGGAGCGCGTGAAGATGGTCTGAGGTTAAAGAGGCGACAGAGGATGTCTGCGGGGCCTGCGCATCGGGAGAGCAGAAACGGCATCTGCGCAC